ATTTCACCGCCGAGAAAAATTAAAACAGGTCGACCCACGTTTTTTTTTTTCTTTTCTCTCGTCCCTTTTGCCTTCCTCCACATCAGGCCGCATCTCTCTGTTTATCTGTCTCCCTTTCTCTCCCTTCCTCCCACTCTTCTGGTCATTGTACAGGTCAGGAAAGGAGTCACGACAGGCTCGAGGATGACCCCCCTCCCCATCTGTCATTCATCACATCCCACAAATGACAGCTGCCTCTACCCACTCAGACTTTCACCTCTGCATTTCTCATGGAAGACAATGTGATACATGTAGTGAGATCCATCTATACGCCTGTTAGTTAAGGATTGTACAAACCTCTACAGTCACTACTGCAGTGTTTGTGGATAAAAAAATATATACATAACCAGTGCCAATGAATTGATATGCAGTAGTATTTCATTATCAAGCCACTGTCTAATTAAGTTCACTTGAAGTCATGTGTTTTGAAGCTGATCAAGAATAATTAAGGGCTAAAATAGGGTATAGAATATTTTTTTTTTACATGTTTTTGTATTTAAATTATTTAAAAAAAAAAAAAAAAAAAAAACGTGTAGTAAAGTGATTGTGCCCTACTTGTTGATTATCTCAGTATGTTTGTTGAGCTGAGATTCAGCTGGACCACAAAACAGGTACATATGCATTAAGGATGTGTGTTTGTGCTCTTTGTTTGGTTCCAGTTTCTGAGCTGATGAGGTTTTTTTTCCTCACGTTGGTGTTTAGGTGCTCTAAATTGGGAAAGTCAGGCTTAACATCTGACAATTTAATCCAGATTGAATGCAAAAAATACTGAAATACTGCTTCAGCTAACATACCTAGCTTTTGATGAGGGTTTTAAAGTCATGCAAATATTAATAAATGACATTTCAAAGAACTCTAAGTCATTGAGCAATAACTTTTGGTCAAACAATATTTTAGAAAAAAACTGATGTATATCACCTGAGTACATAAAAAGTTTCACAAAATTAATAAAAGATCATTTGCCCACTGTATTGATGTCTACTATGTTGTCAAGTCATTATGTCGCACACTCTTCATGCCTGAATTCCAAGTTGTTGTCTTGACCTGAGCAGCCCTTCAGGGAATTGTTGTTGAAGTCTGAGAGAAGCAAAGTGATCCCAAGAACACCAAATCTGTAATTAGTAAATATCTGCTTCTAGATATTTTTTTTAACTGCATGATCTGAATTTAATACAGAAAGTGTTCTTTGCTTTTTTTGTAGTACATTTGAAGTCAAAGTACTGACCAGCCATGTACCAGACAGCTTTGGTGTATGCAAGAAAACAGTCAGTATGGAGAGCAAAAGCAGGTGAAACAACCTGCTCACGGAGGATAAGGATGATGCACCTCAATTGCCTCCCACTGTAAAAATTAAATCCAAAATACCACCTCAACTGGCAGTGACACACTCATGCAGAGGCGACATATTTTGGAGACAAGATATGTGCAGAAGCAAACTGGCTGGTGGAGCCCTAGAACTGACTTCACACTCCTCCCACTATGCTAGTCTAAGCCAACACCTACTTTACTGTCACATCATCAAACATCCCTCGGGTCGGTACAGTCCAACAATAGAACAGATTCTTGTGCCGATTTCTGCTCTGCAAGTCTAGAAAAGAAGACTGCAGAAGCTGCAGTTTCAACAGCTGTTCTGCAGTCAGTCCATTTTTGTCTACAGGCAGGCTGTGATCTGCTGTAATGATGTCCTGGCTTCTACTGGCACAAGATGTATTTATTTCTATATAACTGACATAGGGGATCAGGGAATTAATAAACAACTAATAATTTAACTCATTTTACTTTCTGCAAAATGAGAATTACACAGGAATTTATACAGATAAATGGAATTTTCAATAACATAATTACATTGTTTATTATTTGGCTTATTCAGTCTATTTTCTGCCTTCGTATTCATCACACTTTTTTTCAGCAGCTCTTACACATGCCCTATGATGGCTCCTTCTGACAAAAGAAAACTAACCATCTTTTGCGTTTATTTTTCATCACGTTACACAGTGCAGGTGTAGAAACAGAAAGCTCTGTGGTCTTGTAAGTCCAGCCATCTGTATGTGTGCTACCAAAATTAACAAGCACTATGTCCAGAGAGACAGCGGTAAATACCTGCCTTGACTAATTTGTTGTTTACCTGGTATTTGTGACCATGGCAACATTGTGTCTTGCTTGCTTGTTTACATTTTACAGTCACGTGACACACAGATACAGACACTGCCTGTACGGCGATCGGCTTCTCTCAGACATTTATTGTAGGTTAATCCTGACCAAGGGGGGACGGCATGACAAGCTTCGGGTTAGATGACTGACATCAAACATCTTGAAATGTGACTTTTGCACATGTGCACATTACAATTGTGCTGCCATATGATCGGGGTGAAAGTAAGCTGGTAAGCAGTGGTACACCGTAACAGGAAGACATGAGCAGCAGTTTACAGCCAGTACGCAGCAGTATGCAAACTTTTACCCCTGCACTGTATGTATGCTACATTTGCGTACCGTGTTGCCGCACATCAGTCTGCACTCTGCACTGTAACAGTAGTAATCCAATAGGCTCATGCTGCTTGCGAGTGAGTCATCTTCGCTTCCGCAAACAAACAATCTCCCGAAGTGGAAGCGCTTAGTGCGCACTTTTGATTAGACGCTGGTTGCCTAGGTGCTTGGGGTCACCTAGGCAACTATTAAAGAGACAACTGCTTCAATCTTAATGCAGGAATAAAACATAATGCATAGAAAAAATGATTTTATGTTCAATGATGTTAAATTTTGTGTATGTTGTTGCAAAGTTTGTTACAGGGGTACAGTATCTGAAACGGTGAGGAAATAAAACAGCAGAGGAGATAAGAGTGTGCAACTTTCTTTATTGTTCTAGTTCAAATGATCCGTTGGTCAGCACCTCGTTAAACTTGGGTGTGCTCTTCTTGTACAAAGCCCAAGGGTACAGTGCCTGCAAGAACCTTATCCTACTTTCACCCCTGCATATGATGTGTATTATCAAGCCCTTATCGTAATCACAAGTCAGTTTTTTCATCAAATCAAAAGAGTAAAATCTTTTTTAAGGTCCATACTGCTGTAGAAGAAAACTATGGCTAGCCTCATGTTTACAATGAAACTGAGACTTACCATAAAAGACTGGCGATACTTTGGGGAAATCAAGAACCAAGTAATAATGGAGTATTTTTTTCTGATGGTCCACAAGGGCAAACCTTACTTCTTCTTTTTTTGTTTTGTTTATCTAAACACACAAAAATAGTCTTTGCTGTAAGTTGTTTATTGCTGATTGTCAGATTCACCAAAATGCCTGAAAACGCCTTAAATATAGGGTTAAAAACAGGGCAAAAGATAGAAAAGCACAGGGATACTGGTACTTCCTGTCCTGGTGTGAAAATGTGGAGTCACATCAGTGTGTTTGTTCATGGCTGTGCAGCAACAGTAAGGGACAAAGCAGAGGGAAGAGGCAGCAAACAAACTCGTCACGTTTTATTACAAGAGATGGTGTTCCTTCTTTCTGACAGTCCCCTCGGGGTGACACACAGGCCCCCGCAGCCGTCAGCCAGTGATCTCATTGGTGACACCAGCACACAGACACAAATACACACACTCACCTGCCCAGTTCTGACCTCAGTGCTCTCCCTGCATAGACATTTCTAAGAATTATTCATCACTTAAGCAGAAACCTGGTGTGCATGAGGAGCCCACACATAAATACAAACACATACACAAGTACCATCCTTGCATATGCAGCCCCTGTCACCTGAACAGTGAAATAGGACAGAGGATGCAGGTGTAGGAGGTGAGGGCCAGAGATGCAGAGCATAGCAAGCAGCAGTGAGAGCAAGAGAGAGAGTGAGAAAGTCATGTAGGAAGTGAAACAGCTAAAAACAGAACTTACACGTGAGGTGAGTCTGTGAGAAGAACTACCAAAACCCACCACAGGGACTTGCTAACTAGGTCACCCAGGACCTTTGGGTGCCTCAATGAGCGCTGCACTTTTTAAAGAGAAGCCAACTTCTCTCCATTAGTGTAGAATAGAGGAGTGTGGGATCTATCATGTCCACCTTAATCTCCACCAGGGGAATGCTCATTATGCCCTATCTACCGCCATGATCATTTTTTTAGCATTTCCATTTCCCTAGGTAAACACTTATTTTCACCCCAGGCCGCTCTTTTGTGCTGCGTGTGCATCACTAAAATGAGGTCGACGTTTCCCTATTGATTCCTTACAGCGGAGTACTTCTTTGTAAAATTCATTAGATGGTTTCTCCCAAAGTGTGTTTAGCTGAGCTAACATGTGGTGAAAATATTAAGCCATCAGTCACACATAAGAACAGCTGCTTGAGCAACAATGTAACAGGCATTGTATATGTTAACATATGCACTTATGTAATATTACAACTTGTACATTGTATTATCAAGTGTTGGGACTGTAAACTTATTAATTAAAATATCAATAAACAAGCTCAATTAGTTCTCAAATCCCAGAGCAGAACATCCTGCTATCATCTCCTATGGCATCATTAAAATCAACAAGGGTCATAAGAACCATTAAGTTTGTTTTTCAGAGACCTCTGGACCCAGGTAATAATTTCTGACCATCATATGAGAAACTCTTAATTAGCTCTATGATGTATTAAAACTCCTCCTCATAACCAGAAGCTTCACTATTACAGTACCTGAGCCAATAATAGGGGAGAAGCTGTCTGTCATTGGATGGTCCTGGTCCCCCTCCTGAGAAATAGAATAAAGCAGTAATGTGCTGTATGGATATTGCAGCTTTGCATATTGTTGTGATGTGTTTGAACCCAAATGGATATAAGAATCATTCGAGCCATAATGTCAATGCCTGTTAAATGTATCACAACCTTTTTTTAAATCATAATAAGGGGAAATTATCTTTTGGGAAATATCAGAAAGTCTCTCATCAACAGACTGGAGGATGTCTTGATATTGGAGTTTGACTGACAGCCGGCTGGGGAAACAAAGGGATAGCAGTAAATCAAATGTGTGTAAAAGCCATGCAGTCAAAGACAGATGATGTGCTCCTGGTTGAAGGAGATAGGAGTAGCATCTGACTGAGTGGCATGCGGTTTGGAGTATATTAGCATGCTGTTCAGTGTGCTTCTTTACACAAAACTCTAATTAAAGCAGCATATTTACAGGTAAATATGTGTGAGTTAAATAGGAATGAAGAAGTTGGAGAGTGAGGATTACAAAGATCCTATAGCAGGAGCATGTCTGAGTTTCTTTAGTAACATGATGGAAAATTTCTAAGGTTCCTTTAAATCTATTTTTCAAATTAAACTCAAGACCTACCTTTTTAATCTGGCTTTTAATTTAAGTTTGTTTTAATCTTTTAATCTGCATCATGTGATTTTATGCTATTTTAGTCCTAGAGTAACTATTATGTGTTTTATTACCTCTTTTTTAATTTACTTTCTGTTATTGTTTGATTTTAAGACTGTTCCATTTAATTTAACTTTTAACGCTTTATCACCTTTATTATATTTATCATGGTTTTATCGCTTTAGTCCTAGATCCAGTGTTTCTTCATTATTTTTACTCAAGTTAGCGTTTCCTCAGTCATCAGTGGCAGGTTGAAGAGTCCTCACCTGGTCTTTTGAGTGTGCATCTGTGTGTGTGTGAGAGTGTGAGTGCTGTATGTGTTGAATGGGGGTTGGGAGGGTGGGTGAGGTTATGTATTTGTATCTTTTATTTATTTTATTTCATTGTTTTCAATATCCCGCTTGATTGGACAGCACTTTGTGCTACATTCTATGTATGAAAAGTGCCTTAAAACAAACATTTGATTGATTGATTGATTATGCCTGTCAATCCCATACACTGCAATCAATTAACTGTTACAATCACTCAAAAACATGAGCTCAGGTAATTATGCTCTTTGTTTTTAACTGTAACTCCACAGAATACAGTTTTTATGAAGCCTTGGTTTAATTAAGTAGTAGCCTAAGTTCGAGAAATTATGCTGTGAGGATGAGTTTGAACAATTTCAAGAGGCCAGTTGAAACTTAAAACTGAAATAAGCCTCACATCCGCACAGTACACACATCCATATCTGAACTTTTCATATAGTTTTCTCACATCTGTTGTGCTTTGGTTCATGATTGTGACAGACAGAAGTGCTTAAAGTTCCTGGCTCGGAGACCCTATAATCAAACCAACACCCACCCACACAGAGCAGAGGGGCCAGCAACCCACGCAGCCACACACATGATTTCACACATATTCACACAGAAACTCTTACCAACACTTTCTCCTTCTCTCATGCCGGCACACCTACAATCTCACATCGCTCCGAGCGCTTTCTTACCTGCAGCTTTAATTGTACTTCCTGTGTTCTTATTGTACAAAATTCCAGACACCCACAGGCTCTCTGCTGCCTACCTCATTCAAAGACCCTTTTTACTTCTTTAGGACAACATAAAGTGCATTTTTCCTGCATGACTATGGATATGAGTCAACTCATTACCTCCCCTTCTGTCTCAGTATCATATCACAGCACAGAGTACCCGACATCTAGCCTGTTTACATACAGAGTGTATGGTCAGCCCCATATGGGCAGTCAAGCAAGCATGTGAATGAGATCCAAGCCTTTCTTCATGATTAACACAGGATGACTCATTAGACACGGCTTTCCGTCACGCACGCACACTCAAAAACACGCATACACATACACACACAAGGTGTGCAAGTACGGAGCACGTACATCATTAAACACATAAAAGGAATATATGTATGTATTCATTCCCCACACCCACACACATTTCACTCCTCATACACTCCTTGCCAGATGTCAAATCCTTTTTGTGCATATAATATGTAGGCTGAGGCTGCTGATGTTCATATTCAGTGCGTCTACACTTGGACCCTGCCGTTGACATTCAGTCCATTCAAAGGCTGAGATCGGGCGCCGGAGCTTCATCACAAGAGTGTCTCCTTTCACAGAGCCTACTCAGATTTAACGGTTTTCTGTCATTTTGGCTGCTTGAGAGCCTGTACAGTAATTCCATATGTGTCAGCAAAGCAGGATTTCACTTTGGGTGACTGTAAAACATAATTACTTGAACATAAAACCTCAACTTTTCTCTTGAATGTGAGTAGTGTGTTATAGGATGATCTGCATGCCCCTCCCTTCTCGCCCACACGTCAATTAGACTTAGTTAGGAACGAGAGGCATCTGTTTTTATCATTTCAGTTCTCCACAGGAGCCTGTGTGGAGTGGACAAGTCTTTTCTCTGAGACACATATGTTAAACTTAAAGGTCTTGTAGGTCTGATGGAGATATTATTGAAAACATTATTACTGCTCTGCATTATAAACTGTAGACCTCAGCATATCTCCCTTAGAAAGGCAAACATCTGTTTATATTAATATGTATGATCCTACATGTTCAGTTAAAGCATGCAAGCAATTGTGTAGGACTGGATCTGTGTGTGTGTGTGTGTGTGTGTGTGTGTGTGTGTGTGTGTGTGTGTGTGCTATAAGGCCATTTGCCCTGTGTGTTGAAGCCCCTTTGCTGCCTTTTGCCCGCTGCACTTTGTCACCAACAGCTCCTCCGGTTACGACCTGGCCCCTCTGTGGGGGCCTCTGGGGGCCCTCTGGTTAAATTAGTTTCAGCAGCTCCAGCAACCGGAGTTTCAGGCCTCTAACCTCTCTTTGGATTACAGAACTCTAACCCCACTCTCTGTCAAGGCCCCCCCAAGGCCTTTGAAGTTGCTTATGGCTTTTCCTTCCTCACGCCAACCGACTCTGAATGGATGATCTACACCCGCCTGCCCTTCACTGACCCTCCCCTGTACACTCACCTTCTTTTTTTTTTCAATCTGTCTCACCATTCCTCTTCCTCCCCCACTTACTCCTCCTCCATCTCTTCATCTCTCTGCCCGCAGGATGAGGTCCCCTTTTCCTCCTTCTTCTTCCTCCCACTCCCTCCCACTCCTTACTTTGGTCCACATCCCTTCTTCCTTTGACCTCTTTCACTCCTACTACGCACTCCTGGATGAGTCTCTGGAGGCAGGAAATGACACCAAATGCACACTGTGGGAGTTACAGTTCAATGTTTATGACATGGCTAAGACTTACAGTAGGGGAGACCAGGGCTTGTTGTCACACTTTTTACACTCTTATATATTACTTGGAATCAATACATCATAAGTAAACAAAATGTGTTCCAGATGAAAGACCGGCGGATCTCGGTTAGCCTCTGTGCGCCTCAGTCCACGAAAATACCAAACTGGCTGTACGCCGGGCTCCGCCAGATGAAAATGCAACTGCGCGGGGTCCGCCACCTCACCGGTGTACATGAAAATAGAGCCCTCTATGTTAATTTTAATCCCTTTTAAACATATGACAACTAACGCCAAAACTACCATGTTTGCTAATTAGCACTCTAGCTTAAAGTTAGCTTAAAACAGAACAATGACTGAAGTATGACAGGATGCCTCGATCTCTCCTCTAACAAGTCCACACGTATCACTGAAGCTTTTTTATAAATATATAAAGTTAAAATTTTTTACTTTGGGTTGTGTAAAATGGTTAATCGTTCTTAGACAGGACAAAACTAGTTAAACTAGTATTCCACTTTTTGGTTGCGCCTTCTTGTGGGGAAGATAATTGCAGAGTGATAACTTACCCATGTGACAACAAGGCCTGGTCTCCCCTATAATGACCCTTACGCATCTATTTCATGGTACATGTTGACAAACTTGCAGCCAATCTTTGCTGTTCACGTCTTTGAGAGAATTCTCTTTCTTCCACCTTCGACCTCAGACGTTTTGTTCATCCCATCATGTGTCCTTTACCGTGTTTACACTGGTTGCATGATACAAACATCTTCCCCCTCACCCACTGGCTCATGGTGATGTCCTGAATATTTCCTGCTTCAGTCAGTCACCACCTCACTTGACCCAACCTGACATTTTTTGGAAGTTTACATGAGGTTTGTGCGTCCTGAATGCCGCTTTAGTCTCATCCATCTTTTTTTATTATCCTCTCCTCTTTCTTCATCTCCTCTCGCAGTTTTCACATCCTCCTCTGTTCTCCTCAAAATCTGTTTCCTCTCCCACTCTTTTTCTCAACTTCTCACACCATCTTGTGTTTCCTTCTTCTCCTCTTCTTCACCTAATTTTCTCTTAACGCACTCTCTTCTCTGTTTTGTTTTCCTCCCCCTCTTTCCTTTCCCTTTTCCCCCCTTTCCTTTCTTCCTCTGGACTTTGTCCCCAGTGCTTTTTGCATGCCTCACACATTCCTTTGCGCTGACTGACTGTGTTTACATTGACATCCTTGATTCTGTGTGTGGACCGCAGGGGCGCAACAACCCGGCAGCACAGAAGCTCACACAGATGCATGAAGAAACAAGTTCATTAACCATCTTCTTTCTCTCTCTCCCGAGAAAACAAATTAAAGTAAGAATAATCGAGTCAAAGAATACAGGGAAAGTTCAGAAACAGAAAGAAATGCATCACTATAACTACCTCACAACATAGAGGCGCCATAGTTTATATCTTTACATTCTGGGACCCCCTTGACTTTCCTCTGCTAATTACACTTGCACAAGCTCTCTAAAGGTGGACATTTGTCATTGACGTGCTCAGGATGGCAGGATAGTTGGAAGTTCAAATGGAACTCAAACACATTAGAGTACATTATGCCAGCAGAGGTTATGGAGGAAAGTCAAGAGCTGCCTAACTGTAATAGCGCCCTTAATCATATACCACCTGATCCTGCGGAGCGTCAGCAGGGGAGGAGGAGGCGCGGCCCAGATTCATTGAAAAATAAATGCAGCCAAGTGGATCTTTTTATAGCTCCCCAGCAGCCAGAGGACAATATGGAGTCATGTGAGCGCTATGTTTATTTTATTTAACAGTAAGAGAGAGAGAGAGAACAAGGCAGCGTAGGCGGGAGATGGAGGGTTAGAGACGAGACAAAGGACAGTGACAGGGCTGGAGAGAGAGAGACAGAGAAGTTAAGAGAGAAAGAGAGAACCAGGTGATCTATCATAAGGTCATCTTTTTCCACTGCGTACACGTCACCTGTGTGTTCCCTACCAAAAGGACACTCAGCACATTCAAATGTCACTGTCTGCGGTGTGTATTGTGTAATGCCACACACACACACACACACAAAGGCGCTCTCACTTCTGTGTCGTGTAAATACAGCGTGATAGCAGGTACCTTCTGGGCTACCCTGCTCTTTCCAGGTAATGCCTTGTGTAAGACGTTCCCACCCTATCCTCCTCGTCTTAACCCGTCCATATTAGGATGTTATTCCTCCTCGATGACGTGTTTGTGTTGTCTGAGCTCTATTCTTGTATTCACCTGCCAATCCAGCTTAATAAGTGGTATTATTTACTGGAATAATGCTCTATTGTGGACAGGCCTTGGTAACAAAATAGGATGACACAGTAACAGATGGCTTTATCACTAATCTGGTATTGTTTTTAAAGCTCATACAGAAGACATTCATGATTTAGCGCGGCTTGACTAAACCTAGTGTTTATGGGTTACACACAGGCATGACCAATCCAGAGCTCCTCCTTAGTCTACACTGGTATGCCTTTTCTCGCTGATTGATCCTGCTTTGCATCTGTGCATGTCTGTGCGCTGACATGTGTGTCAGTGCCAGGTCATAGCGGTTGATTGTCAAAGTGATGAAGAAAACATTTGTTCAGTGAATCACTCAGTCCTCTACCCGCACTCACGCCTTCACTTCCAGTAAGGACCCATAGCAGCATGCCCGCCTCTTCCCAAAGCTTCCATGAAAACCGTCGTCCCGTGCCAACCGCTCTGGAACAGCCCAACAAAGAGTTAACACCTCAGATGGAGAGACACGATGTAGGTGGAGGGGGAGGGGAGTGGGAGGAGAGGGAAGAGGATGGTGTGAAGGAGAAAAGGAGTGGCTGGCGGCTCCGGCACTTAAAGGCGGTGAGCTCAGGGTTGTGGAATCAGGAACTGCTCTTTGCTCTTTAACTCTGCTACGCCCCTGCACTACCGCCACCGCAACACCCACACCTCCACCCAGGCACTCTTCCCGCACGACCTCTGCTCCACTTGCTGGAATGCTGACTTTTTTTTTGCAGGCGCCCACCCCCTCCATATTTCTCACCCCTCCTTCTCTTATAAAATAAAAATGGAGACTGCTCCAAGTCTCAGAAAAAACAAACAAACAAAAAAAAAACTTCAAATCAGATCATTTACCTTCTGAGTTGTCTTGGTCTATTTGAGCAGAAGTGCCACTGTCTATCTGACTAAAAATATCTCCCATAGCAGCAGAAGGAAAGTCTGTTTCCACATGAGGCTCTATTAAAACCCACAGATTCAGCAGTGCGGACCTCAGTCTGATTCCAGCGAGGATCACTCCTGCCTCCAGAGCTGGAGTTTGTTCTGACTGAGAGCAGGAAAAATACTCTCACACAATCCCAGCTCAAACAGATTCCAGTAAAGGCAATTTGTGTAAATATGTGTCCGGGGAAAATGGCTTCAGAGTGGGCGTGCTGATATTAGAAAATATGATTTTTTTTTTTTTTTTTTTTTTATGCCGGGAATGAAGAGATGTTATGGCTCTTGCATGAATACATAATCAAATTGTTCTAATACGTCTGAGTCATTCAAGACTCATCCTGTGGACAGAGTGATGATGCGTCTTTCATCTGTCTCCTCTCTTTAGTATACATCCTGTAAAGTAGGTCAAATTAACCCTTCTCTGAGTTCAGACATGTAGGCATGGCGGACATGAAGTACTCATCATGTATTTGTAACCGTCTGTCTTTAAATGAAACGGACCACAGACAGCGCATGTCGTCCATGACTCAACGTACAGTAAGGATGAAGGTCTTGTATTTGTTAACGGTGGAACATTTTGTCTTTGTAAAGGTGGTGACTGTTTCTGATAAAGATGAAGGTAGAAAGGTGTACCTTCTTAAACAAGTTAACCTTTTCTCCTTAAACAAGTGTTGTTTGCTGTGGATGAAGGAATGGAGGTGGCTTTCGAAGAGAGAGAAAGGAACAAGGCGGTAGCTTGCACATCTGTCATCCATTTGGGGTGGGAGAGGAAAGGATGGCTCTTGGCTTACCTGTGCAGCGTCAGCTCAGGAGGGGTGGCGAGGACATTTGTCAAGGAGCCGGGGAGTAAATAGTGAGGAAACAAACCGCCATCTGTCTGGGCCCATTGATTTTCACATGAAAAGCAAATACATCCATTCTGTTTGCGCTGCCTCCCAGCTCTGTCTGCCTGCCGGGCGAGCGCGTAGTCGAAGTTTACCTTTCAACATCATGTTCCTTTGATAATCCTTATATTTGACCAGACCTCTAACCTGATGACTCCATTATGTGAGGTGTAGCAGTCTGAAAAGTGGTGTAAACATTTGAAGCTTTAGTCACGATTCTGTCTGCCTATTGTTGAGGAGGTTAGGAGACTGCATGTCTGCTTTCTAACAATGAGTAACAAAAAAGTAGTTGGATGTTATCATCTGACCTGAGCAGAGAGCAGTCACATGATCTTTGTTACGTATTTCTAGCTGGGCCTGGACATGTTTGGCTCAAACTGCTCAAACTGTTATTGTTACCTTTAAAATGATCATCTCCAATCTGAGTTGAAAGTGTAAAAAATAAAATAAAATACCCTGAACATTTTTGCATTTTGGCTTAAATATATTTAGTCGAGGCTGTGTGTGTTTAAATATTCCAGCTGATGCCTTTTGTGTAACCTGAGTAGCATATCCTTGAAACTCGGGGTTGCTGTTACCCTACGCCAGGAGGGAATACACAATGCTGCAGGATGTCCTGCTATGAAAGTACCTTAAGGGTTCACTTCAGGTTTAGGATCACTCCAGGACACGACATAAAAAGAACACTGAAAAAAGCAGCAGTGTAATGTTAACACCATAATAGCTGAAAAGGAAGAAGGACCTATACTTAGCTGACAGTTTGTACATTTATACCAATGTTGCATGTGCATGCACCTGCTCTATTCTTGTTTTATTCATCCTACAACATTTTGCTCTTCCTGCTCTGGTTGCATGATATAAACATCATCCCTTCTGCCCACTCACTTGCAGTAGTTGCCTTTTCACATCATCGCAGCCCGACTTTTGCAAGAAAATTTTAGCAGGAGGTTGTCGTAAAGTGAAGAGGAAAAACTTCAGCCCATCCTGAAAATGTTGGGAAGTTTTCAGGGGTTTTGTGAATACATGTGTGAATACAGCTTGAGAGTCCGACCCTGTTATTTATGGAAAGCTTCATGACATAACTTGATGGTTATGTTTTAGTCCCACACATAGATAGATCCTGTACCCTTACTGCATCTTTGAAACGCCAACACAGTCTGTCTAGTCTGTCTTTGCCTGGGTTCACCTTCAGTGTCGATTCACATCTGTGCCATACAGAAGTGGACAGTAAATTCACTTGAGTACTACAGTCAGCTGATGAACTCTCTTTCCCGAGATCCACAAGATGATGTTAAATGTCTCTGTCCTTGTTTGTGTCGTTTGTCTAAATGGTGTTGCCGTACTTGTACATCCTGCTTCTCCATGGTTAAAAATACAGCAAAAATGGAGCAAATGCCAAAATAGAAGAATAACTCGAACCATTTTAAAAATTCGCTCTGTTCCCCGCACATAAACTCCAAAATGGTCAACAGAAATGTGTCGTGTCCAGGTGTGAGGCCAAATATTTGGTGTTGTTTTTTTTTGTTTTTTTTTTCCACAAGTAACATTTTGACCAAAGTTTTCTGTGCTTGTCATGACTAAGTTGCTGTTTTTATTCCATGGTTGGTCATTTCTATTGTTTTTAGATTTGATCAAAATTTTTTATGTTTTCACAATAGGGTAACATGGCAAAATTTTCACCCATGTTTTCACCAGTGTTTGAAGGTCTTTACACACCAGACAATAGGCGAAGTGATGCAAATAAGTGACGCAAGAAGGTGAATGTTTTGCCAGCGAATTTTTTTCTGTACACACTGGGCACAACGCGATTATGCAAATAGAACCTACTAAGCGAATAAAGTTTGATGCTTTTTATTATCTTCAAACACAAACACTTACTGGACTTTGAAAAATTTGCCCTGAGCTAGTTGGTAAGCTAGCTTAGCTTCATATTATGCTAGCTATGTTACATCTATGTTTGAGCATTGACATAACATCAACATACTTACCAGCTAAGTTGAGGTCTTCTTCTATTTCCTGCCATATTTATATTTTTAGGAGAGTGTTGTGGAATGTTTTCAGGGACTTGTCCCATAAAGCAGGGCGCTCCTGCATACCAATGATATTGCGCTCAGTCATGAAGAATAAATGCAGACTAGGGCTGATGCTGCCAGTGAACTTTGATGTGACGTCATTGACATACCAACATCATTTTGATTGGTCAAAGGTCTGGCCGTCCGCCTTTTTGCCTCCGCAAAATTCGACACCTGAGCAAATAGATAACAGTCCCTTTTTTGCTAGCATTTTGTAAGGTCACATTGACTTCAAATTCACAACAGTCGTCATCCCAAGATGCTTTTCAAAGAAAAAGAGCAGGTATAGACCACGCTCATTGTTTGATGAATTATCAAGACCCAACCTAAGATGGGTTTTTACCCATCTCATCTAACATGAGTAACAGTGGCAAGAAAAAAACTTCTTTTTAACAGGCAGAAACCTTGGGGAGGACCAGACTCATGCCATACAGCCACCAAGCCGCTGCTGGGTTGGGGAGGAATACAGAGAGATAGGGGGAGAGAGGGAGAGAGGGAGAGAAGAGAGAAGGGGGAAAGGGCAGGGGGAGAGAGAGAGAGAACAAGCTAGGGGAAGGAGAGAGAGAATGAGTAAGGGACTTCAATAGTTTTTTTTTTAAAATTGAATTATTCACCTCACAAATTCGCTCCTGGTGTGTAGGGACCTTAAGGTTTTTAAAAAAAAGAAAAAGTCTTGAAACAGATGTACATTAAAAAATCTCTTACTCCAAAACTTTGATTCAAGTAAGAATTCGACGAAGCAACTGTAATTTCTATTGAAAGAATATCTGATATCTTTTCACTGACAGATAACTTGGAGGTGTGTACCTAGTCCATCACTGTAGACATGATAAAAAAAAGGTTTATGTAGCGGTAGGCAAGAGAAGAAAAGACATAAAGACCAAAATATAAGCTTGAACCTGAAGAATAGAGGGGTCTTTTATGTCCTGTGTCACCACCACCTGCTTCCTCTTATGAAATCTCTTCATGTTCCTCCCACTGAGCGTTCAATCCTCCATCCTACTCCTGAACAGACACTAATTCAACCACTGAACCTTAATCCCTAATGCAAAGACCTGATAAACTCCTTTCTCTACCACCATGTAAATGTTTATCATTAAATGGAGAGCATTCACTGAATTATCACTGAGGGGCGTAATGACTTTGTATGAGCTCTGACTCAGGTTTGTGGGTAGATAACCTAACAAAGAGTACCTAGGTGCTCTCTGTGTGTATTATCCTCCCTATTTGGCTTTGATCGTTTTGGCATTTTGCTGCAGACACTCTAGATATACAGCTGATGCAACCAAAATGTCATCCCTCTTTTTGTACAACCGCTGGAGAGAGGGCCTTTTCATTTAGTGGGAGAATTTGAAACAGCTCTAACCTTTCATCAACAATGCCGCCACTTTACGCTGCGGAATTCCTAATTCAATGAAAGGCGTACCGAGGCACCTGCTTTCATCAGAGCTCAGGTCCTCTGAGAAAGTCTGCAAAAGAAAAAGAGAGGAAAAACAGCGGATGGAGAGCGGCGACTTGTTGACAAGACTCCGGTGGCGAAAACAAAGTGAAATGAGCACCTGAGGGCTCGTGATGTCATGCGGCTCAAACAGGTTTTTACTGTTGGGACAATAGCTGTGCATATTATACGCAGGCACTCACAGAAACAAACACACACATACACAATGTATTAACTGGATGTTACGGCCGAGACTCTGACGGCAGGATGTCTTTATGTAATTATATATGACCGTGCATTTTCATGAGAAACAATTTGGAAATGGAAAACCCTCCAGCAGACTGTCCCCTTTTAAAGGCCTATAACTGCATCAGCATGATGTGTCACAGCTAGCTTTGCCGTAGCATTCCTGTCCCTGTCCACACATTATCTAATAACCACAAAAACAATCCAGTAGTTTCACCATGACGGCCTTTTGTTATCACTGGGCTCTAAAATTTCAAGTTTGCCCTCATCTCCTCTTTTCTTTCCCTCTTCTCTTTTTTTTTCAGCAGCCCATTCCTCCCCTCTCGTCTCCTCATATCCCCCCATCTCTGCCTCTCACAGAGCCCTCTCCCCCCTCTCCACATTCCTTGGTGAGTGGGTGGAAAGTTCAATGGGGATGTGGGATCCCAGAAGGGCAGGGAGAGGAGGGGGCTCATACCAGAGCACAGTATGTGTGCAAACCAGGGGCTCCTTATCAGCCAATCTGATCTGTCTGCAGAGGTGTGTGACTGCCTGGTCGGGCTTGAATGTGTCCTGATTGGTCATGTTTAGAAGAGCTGATTCAAAACCTTGAAGATGAAACTTTGCATACCTAAGGAATCTGTTCCTTGTTACACTGACACAGCTGAAAAAGTGGACACACTGAATTGTTGTGGTTTATTTTCACTGCTGAGCCCCACTTCCACACAAGAGCAGACAATTGAAACATTTAATGAGAGAAGGACCTCTGCTGGATGCGTCCCGGTACTACAGCCCACTTTTGTTATCTCTCAGGAGGAATGCAGTTGACTGTATCCTCGGTTCAACGTCAAATCTGGGTTAAAGTTCTCTTGAATTACACTCACTGTGAACATTGATATCAGGCTTTGATTGTTTGGTGATAGGATCTCAAATGGCAGACAGCTCGTCATTCTAAAAGAGATCTGTTATCTGTTGTTGCTTTGTCATCGCAACACTTGAACATTGCCTCACTTCGCACACTTGGCAAGAGTTAAAATGCAAGGGTAGGGCATTGTGGGTAGGCCACTTCCAGTAACTTGCATAACCTCCCTTCAGTGACAAACCCATCACTATTTTGCAAGTGGCATTCCTCGCCCTTTTGTCAACCTTGTTTACCTTTGCTTCGGCCTTATCTCCGTTGCACCACGAGCACACAAACTGGTTTTAGGAGCAGCTCTGGTCCGTGGGCTGCGAGTGTAGGAGACACAAAGGAAGTGGTGGGCGACCAGCAAACTGTATTTCCCCTTCCTGTCTATGTCCTCCCTCCCTGCTCGCCTGCCTGCCTGCCTGCCTGCCTGCCTGCCTGCCCTTTGGCTATTAATGTAACTCTGAGCTACCCACCACACACCCACATGGCCACTGGGAGCTGGTGTGCACAAGAAATCACAGACATGTACACATGCATGCATGAACAAACAAGCAAGCAGCAGATTACGAGTGATATCAGGGTAAATAATTAGAAGCTAAACAAGCAGGCGAGGTATTAAGTTGTACAAAGAGCTGCACAAAGTGTTCAGAACATTACGTGTCCTCATATCAGTCTATGAGCTCATTCTCTTTCCTCCTACCTTGCTGGCACATAAACAACAGACAGCAGGGAGCAATTAAATAGGTGTCCGTCACTCAATCACGACGTCTATCATGGCCAATGAGGAGGTGATGTACAGTATGCAGGCACAGTAGGAAAATACCAACAGCGTGATAACAAGGATCCCCTGTTCTGTATGTGGCTGCACCTGTCCTTGCATGCACGCTCAAACAGGCACATGTCCATATCACACACACACACACGCTCACTTCAAAGATGTACCATTAGAACTCACTGCGAAGTGAAAAACTCTCCTCCTTCCCTCAAGTAGGCCTGATTTTTTCTCAAAGTGGGCTCAAAAGTGGGCCGACAAATTTAGCACTTCAGCTGGGCACTTTCAATCTTTCCATTCCTTTTTTTTTTTTCTTCTTTCTCCTCTTTGTTCAATTTACCACTTACACACGTGACACAGCCCACACGCACGCACGCTCACGCACACACAACAGCAGTCCATGTTCCATCACAATCCTTATACCCCTTCCCTCTCCCCCCCCTCCTCTTTGGTCATCCAGCTCATCTGTGAGAACAGAAAGAACACACACCAGCATGAATCACAGTGAATCATGCAGCCCGAATAGCACCCAAAGAGAGGTGTTGCATTTAACCAGGACACGTACTATTTATAATGGCCTGGGCGTGTACGTTCTCATTATAGGCCACGGAGGATTCTGACAGAAAATGGGCAGATGAGGGGGTAGTGACTCTTTTTAAATGTCACCAGCAGCGCATCGTCTTATCTGCAGAAAATATTTACAGCAGCAGGAATGTATTTGAATGGGGAGAACCACTTTTTATATGCTTTACATCATGTTTACATCTTATCAATTAAGATTAACTATACAGATGTAAACACAGGATAACACACACAGTTTTATCATTGGATATGCATTTTCTCTAGAAAAGGAAAAAGAACTTACAGTAGTATAAACATGACAACAGAGTGCCTCTACTATGCAGACCTTGTCTTAATAAGCTTGTTAAAGTCTAATTAGTGTAACAAGTAGCTGGAAAACAAATAATCTTAATTATCATATCAAATACATTAGCTGCTTGGGGGATGATAGACTAATTTGACAAACACTTTGTTCTTGTGTTTCCTTTTTGGCTTATTTTCTCTCACCACATGCCAATCACGCTCAATTCAGATATCGCATCAGGACAGAGTTGGGAA